TTGTACTTGTACTCAGTAAACTCGGTACTGCCATTCACGACCGCTCTAGCAAAACATTCATATCCATGTACATGTACATGTACAATCATGTACATGTACATGTACATAAGTATACCATAGCATGGGGCATGCCGGACGTGTACAGTAGATAAACACAGAAAATGTGTGATAAGACTTTCGAATAGAGGGGGGAGGTAGGGGGGTAAAGTCTATTCGAAATGCGTTACGTTTGCAAAATAAATGCGAACTTATGAGATGCTCCCTAAAGTAGTACGTTTACTTTTCCTGTTTTTGTTTTTTTTTACTGTTCACATAGCGGTAGAGGCTAGGCTCTTACCTGGATTGTAGCCGTCTTCCTGTAGGCGCGAGCATCTGTGTTGAAATTCGGGCAAATTACGTCTGTGTGGTTTGAACAGTAGTAGAAATCAAACAAGCGCCATCGTGGATCATCACGACCGCCAGCTGCGCTAGTCATGTCACACTGAAATGTAAAATGCTGCATGAACAAAATAGAAAACAATAAATAGAAATTCTGTGTCCCATGGAGTTTCCCACGCTGAGTTGAATCTCCCTGGTCCAAATTCTGTGCCACAACGAGTTCTATATTATTTTAGCTTTGGGTTTGGAAGCGCCAGGTCAAGGTCCGCACCGTGACGTTCACAGCTGTGACACACCCCACCACGGCTGGCCTACATCATTGTGTCATCTACTGTTAATGCTCCGATATGGGAGCGCTAATTTCATTTGCAATTTCAGGGTAGGAGAAGCGATTCCTGAACTATCCTCTGCGCCCTGCAACGCAAGCACCGATGCTGAAGTCAGTGAAGACCACCATCATCCCACCGTCGTGTGTAGCTGGGCCAGGGAGGCCGAATACAATGCTGAGGGGTTAGCTAGGCATGTGAATATCGAACAAGAATATGCTGAAATTGGCAATAAAGAAGATTGTGCACTCATAACAGCAAATAATGAAGAAAGTGAAGTTCCATAACGTTTTCTGTGACTTTCATCAGTGGAATGCCGTCACATAAAAATGTAATAACTAGAACACACATTAGCCCAGGCCCACGGGTACACACACCCACGTCTGCGGGCATACCTCCGCATACGCACATGCGCAAGCGCATGCGCACGCGCGCACACACACACACACGCACACACACACACACACACGCACACACACACGCACACACATTCATGTGCACAAACATAATTGCAGACACTCCCACGCCCCGTCTGTGCGTACAACGACTTCCTCACGCACGCACTCACAAGAAAATAACACATAGATTTGGGGGTTGCCACGACTTCATTTTGATAAAAGATATTAAATTATTCCCGTAGCTATGCAGAAGACGTTACTTCAGTAACGTCTGGCGCTAGCCAGGGTCCACACATCTTTAATTTGGTATTTGTGTGTTTGTCACGCCTGGCGCTATCCCGTATCTGTCCCGTACCGTACCGTACCATCAAACACAGCTGGCCACATACAGCTGGCCGCAATATTGAAATAGGGCTTTCAAACGCAAGATCATAACATGAAGCAACTTGGAAGAATGAGTATGAATGCGAAGTGTATGGGGGAATGCATGTGTATGTGTTTTTAGCCGAGTATCAGGGCAATACCGGCCGATATCTGCCCGAACGGCGTCAGCCGTGAGGGCAGATATCGTAGCCGGTATTGCCCGTACTACGAGGCTAATACCACATTTATTACATGCATACTTCCCGAATTTGATGTACTCATCAACGAACACTGCCCTCACACGTGGAATTCGGGATCAGTACTCGAAAAACTACGAGGCACATGTATCCAACTGGTATTACATGCGCACCTATGTACTTCCCATGTTAGCTGATCCAATCACCGTACACTGTCATTCATATTGGCAAGAGTACATAACCTCCCAAGAGTACCCCCCGTGATATCAAGAGTACATGCCCCCCCCCCCTCCCTTGGTGATACATGTATCCGTATTCTGATAAGTTTGTATGCGACATTCATCACCGGCACCGTAGGCCAAACACCATGCATGCACCACAAACATGAGACTGGCCATGTGTACTCACTCGCTTGCCTCAGCTCACACTTCTACTTGTAGTTCAAATTACAACAAACACATCGAAGCTTTTTATTTCTTCACAAAGTTGATTGTGCAGTTGTTGAAAGTGCACGTCTTGAAAGCTGAAGGCATTGCTGCAGGCATTTCCTGGTGGCATTCGAGTTCATCCAGCTCTTTCTGGGACGCCTGAGACAGAATCAGATCAAGATCATCATCCCCGTCATCATCCTGGATGGAAGGAGTGTCTTGGCGTGCTCGCTTAGCCGGAGGCGTTGAAGATGCAATGGATGCTGATGATGATGCTCGCTTTGCACATGAACATTGATCCAGTAGTGCTGCTGCGTGTAGCTTGTCCTCTTCAGATGGCTGGTCATAAGACGCAAGACTGGCGCTGGATCTGTGCTTCGAAATGCCCATAACAGTGGACGGTGCTAGACCCTGTCGAAGAAGCTCAGTGATGCAGCTGGCTCTCACCGAGTGGTTCGTGTACTTCACGGTTAGTCCAGCGGCTTCTGATATTTGAGTCACCATGGACCAGAGGGTGTTCTTGCCCAGGGGCTTGCCATTGTACCACGTATCTCTCTGACGGGTTGCTGCTGACACTTGCTGGAACAATCTTGTTTTCTCTCCTGTGCCCTTCGTTAGCTTGGAGGTATACAAGTTGAACGCACTCACTTGAAAGCTGTCCACGATCCTACCATCGGACACTTCGTCAGCGGAGGTAAGGGAACCCTGGTGATTTTTTTCTTTGTGGGCAGTGGTCATCCGGATGTAGGTTGTTGTGCAGTCAGACTTGACAGTTTCGAAGTCCTCTATGCACAGACTTGATTGGCTTTCCCGACCTCTCATCCAGAAATGCTTGGTCACAACAAACCAAATGAATCTCGAAAGCCTAAGCGGATCATTGGTGCAGTCTGTGAAGTACTTGTCCAATCTTGTGTTGTCTTCTTCACTGATGGAGGGCTTGTGACTGACCGCTTTCAGGTCACCGTCAGATTTCAGCTTCTTGATGTAGGTGTCATGGCCGCGCTTGGCGGGTTTGTGACTTGGCTTAGATCAGTCTAGTGGCTACCCAGGTAGACGACCAATATAGTCGCCATCCAAGTTGCTAGCTCACATAGAACGACAGGTTTCTAATTCCACTTGAACAGTGTTTATTTGAACCATTGCAGTACTAGATCGAAAGATCAAGTGTGTAGAGTCAAAAGACCAAAGCAGGAGAGAGTCGGAGTGACTCTCTCAGAATCGAGAGGAGTAGTGAGCTCCCCGAGAATCGAGGATGAATGTTAGCAAAACAGCTCCTTATATATGCTACATTATGTGATCAAAAGTATACAGTGGCAAGAATGCGTAAGGATTATTTCTATATTACAAACAGTGGTGCAATAATATGTGCAATCAGCCAAACTAGAATATAGTACAAAGAATGATCAATCAATACGGGGAGCTTGCTCACCCACATTACATGAAAGGACTCCGAGGCTCTTCGTGCGACGGGGCCTGGAGTATGCTGTCGGAAGTTGCTGCAGCTAGAGCACGCCGCCTCCGTACGCTGCCTTGGTCGTTGGTCACCCTTCATCTCCTGCCCGTAGGCTCTTCCCTCTCATTACCCCGTAGGGTGCTTCACGGTCAAGCCGTGACCTCTCCCAAAAAGGGATAACGGAGTCCGCAGTGCGCGAAGCACTTGCAGGACCCTTTACGTCGTACGACGCGAGAAGAGGGGCCATGCTTGCTCGACTAACAAAGGTATCAGCTCCCTTGCAGGACTAAGCAGGGTCCCCTCAAGCTCAACAGTGTAGTGAGTACAATGCTGACGACTTGTACTGAAGGTGTAGCCGCCGTACGACAACACTTGTGACTCGAGGCCACGAGTTGTAAGCCATGATTGCTCAACTAACGAAAGTGCCAAATCCTTCGCAGGACTAATCGTGGTTCTTACAGAACTCTAGAATATTTCGGAGCCCAGCTTTTGGCTGCTGAATCTCATTGCGTGGTCGCTTTCACGACGAGTCGAGTCCGGGTCATGACATAGGCAGCAAACACTTTGTTGCACTCTACGAACTCGATGCCGGTTATGATGTTGTGTTACGCTTGTGATTGTTTAGCTCTCGTTGTATAGCGTTTCTAAACGACACTAAGCTTGACTTCGCATAAGGGGCGCCTTTCTGTGTTTTGAGCGAAACATACGCAAACTTCAAAATGCTAGCTAGATGTGAAGCGGAAACTGACTTCAGATCACACTGTTTCTTCTCTGCCACAAGATAGTCACTAAACACTTTCAGCCAATTCTTCGTTGAATTCTTTGTGTTTTTGTTTTCCTGTTCCCACAGCATCCCTACTTCTCTTTGTACATACATCTACATCTACTGTTCTTTCAATCAAATGAACCCCTCGATAGGCACATTGCCTTTGGGTCATTTCATAATAATAATAATAATCTTCTCAACATCTTGCTCGCTCACTCGCACAAATCGTGAGTTGACAGCTCGTTCACGGACACCATGTTCTGTCTCAACTCGAACGACGCTGGTAGCTTGAACTTGGTTGATTGGTTCACCGTCCAAGTCAGCTAGCATCTCGGTCAGGACATCCGGGTGTACGTCCAATATTTGAGACACATCGTCAGGAAGGTCAGACAGAAGTCCTTCTTCCTCAGCCATCGTCAGCGCTCCTTCACACCACAAGTAACAATGAAACCTTTTTGGTGGTGTGGTTTGCTTTGTTGGTGTGTGCAGTGGTGCAGTGGTGCAGAAGTGAAAGGACCCGGGGTGCGGGGGGGGGGGGGGGGGGGGGTGGTGGGTGCGGAAGTGTACGCGTGTACGATTTGTATGTGTATGTGTACAGTGCGTATGGGGTCAAATGCCGGGCAATATCGTGTAATATTGGACCGCCTGAGCGGGCTTGTATGGAGAAATATTGCCCGCTCTATCTGGGCGCTGATTGGTTGTAGACCTGGAAACGGTCACCTGACGTGTAATAAAGGGCGATATTACGGGTTCGAATCCCAGGTTATGCCTTAAAAAAATAGGAGAATTGAAAAATTTATAACATCCTTATGCTTTTTTTGCCTAGGTCATCAAGGCGGTAGACAGTGTCGTATTATCCTCGACCGTACCTGTCCCTTACCTGTCCCGTACCGTACCATCAAAGACGGCTGGCCACAATGCATATCCAAATAGGGCTTTCAAATGCAAGATCATAACGTGAAGCAACTTGGAAAAAATTAGTATGTATGCGAAGTGTATCGGGGGATGCATGCAGGGTGATAGTGCGGGTTCGAATCCCAGGTTACGTCTTAAAAACAAGAGAATTTTTAAAGAATTTATAACATCTCTATGCTTTTTTTGTCTAGGTCATGAAGGCAAAAAAAACATAGCGTAGGGCCCTGAGCTTCCAAGCTCTCTCGTAATAGTGTTAGGTTCACGATTTCATG